GCCCCCTCTTGCACCAGCCTTCAGGCGAAAGGCCAGAGGTCCGGAGATGCTGCCCGACCGGCTTCAGCGGCGTGGCAGCGAGCCTCGGTGGGAAACGAGGGGGCACGCTGGCCCCCTGAGTGAATCGGCCAGACTTGGCAGGGTTTGCCCCTTACGGCTTGGCGCGGGAGGCTGACCCTGCACCGGAGTCAGCTTGAGCAGTTGCTTCCGATGGCCAGAAGCCCCGCGGGAGAGTCTGGGCTGGCTGCCTGGCCAAGGGGGCCAGAGGCCGCTCGGCAGCCTGGAGAGCCCCCTGCTCCTGCCTAACATCCCCCCAATGACTGGGGCTAAAATGGATGGGGAAGTTGGAAGGAAGGGACAATGAGCACCACCACCACCATCACCACCCAAAAAAGAAAATCTCTTGCCAGTTGCAGAATAAACGTATGGTGCAAGTCAGAAATCGAGTTTGGTCAGTCCTCCAGATCTAGGAAGTGTCAGATTCCAAAGACGGGCATGACTGAGAACTGATACCTTCAGTTTGCACAGCACCTAAGCCAAGTTTGTGTAAAATATCCCTCACCATGCATTGCTCCGTAACCACGATTGAGGCCTTACCATCTCATCTGAACCCTGAAGGGTGGCATTTTGAGATTTGCACAGACTAGATGGTATAACCTATTCATAAGATTATTAACTGCCTCCATTCCGAAGGTCTTCGTTTGTGAAGTCCAGTTTGGACAACAGTGGCTCAGTTGAGGACAGGTCACCTGGTAAGCTTCAGAGCTTGGCTAAGATGCAGCAGACGGCAGGAGAAGATGATTGGGGTTAGTTTGTTCGGTGAGCACAGCCATTGACTAAACCGGGTGATTGCTGACTGCAATATGACAGTAGGACTACATGGGAAAAATTTTGATCAGGTATAAAATGGAATTAGAAAAGAAGCTTTCCCATATAGCAACAGCTGGCCAGGTAGGATGTTAACAGTTTTCACAAGGGTTGTGAGGCAGATGAGCATTCTTTTCCTCCCACAGCTGCAAACTTCTTGATACTTAAACCAGCTGGCTCAACTGCAGTACTGTGTGTGGGTAAAAGTGACCGCTTCTTTAAATTTGTGGTATGGTTTTTTGGGAATGCACATTGTGCAAATTCCTGTTGCAGATATTTAGGGCAACTGGCCCTGAGATTCCCTCGAGTGTGAAGCTCGGAAGGACTGGTTGCACCACGTTCTGCTCCCTCTGGGAGGGTGCCCGAAAATTCTAGGGTTCCTGTGTGAACCTCATTGTTAAATGGGATACAGAAGTGGTAGAGTTGCTGCTTGTGTGGCTGAAAAATGTATTGTGCTGTTTTCCGTCAGGCTCTGCCAAGGACCCTGATACAGACTTGGGTTTCCCAGAAGCATCCTGAGAACGTTAGAAAGCTTCAGCTAAGCATGAGAAGATGTGTCAAATGTCTCTCTCTTTCAATAATTAGCCCAATTTGCAGTTGCTCCAGGGCAGTTCCCCCATCTTCTTCCAACCCTGTTTTATACTCGCAACAGCTCTGTGTAGTAATTAGTCCAAGTAACAGAGAAAAACAGAATGACTAGGGTCATCCAGAACTAGCCAGAACCAAGCAAATGCTGCTGAGTGTTGTGAAAACTCAGCAATAGGGTGGCCGAAGTTTCTCCACGAGCTTCCTGATCAAAGGGCTTTCTGAACCTGGGCCTCTTTCTCTACCCTTAACCGATTTTGGAAAAAAAGTGACAGAAAATGGATGAGAACCAAATTTGGAGCAGAAACCCTTTCCCCCCACTGGTCATTTTTCTGATCCAAGTTGTAGGAGCACGCTCTTTTTTCAGATATGGGGTCAAGGGGAGATGAAACTTCTATGGAAAGTGTCTCCTTGGGAGCCAAGAACAATGTAGTTGGCGAAGTCACTCTCAGGGAAAAGCTCGCATGCCACCTGCTAGTGCTCCTGTCAGGTGTGGTGTGTTTGGCTGTATTCACACAACACTAGTCATTTCTGGAGCCCGCAGATTTTGTTAAAAACCTTAACAATTCAGAGTCAGAAAGAGGATCCTAGGATCATAGAGCTCAGAGGGACCTAAGAGGTTCAACCCCCTGCACACTGCACTACACCATCCCCAAAGCATGGATCAGTGTAACCCCCAAAGTATCCCGGGTCCATTGTTAATCAAAACTATATTGTATGAATCCAGAAACCTCTTTGTAGTAATGGCTTTGCACTAGCAAGTCAGTCCTCCAGGGAAGAAGAAGGAGATACAGAGAGGCTGGAGAGAGAAGGCACCCACTAGAGAAATAGTGTTACGGTTTGGGTTGTTGTTTTTATCCATTCAATCATGTCCGATTCTCGGAGATTGCCTGGACAAGTTCCTGCATTTTTTCTTGGCGAGGTTTTTCAGAAGGGGTTTGCCCTGGCCTCCTGCTTCCCAGGGCTGAGAGAGCGGGACTGGCCCAAAGCCCCCCCAGCTGGCCTTGTGCCTAGGCGAGACTAGAACTCACAGTCTCTCGGTTTCTAGCCTGATAGACTAACCACGACACCATGGCTCTCTTTCATTTGGTAGCCGCTGAAAATGCCTTCCGAGCATTGATGGGCTGGAGTCCCTCAGCTACACGGCTCGCTGTTCTCCAGCCAGGGAGAAGAACCAGACATAAGGACTGACATTGCACGAGGGCTGACGGGATACTAGGCAGGAAGGAGGAAACAGCTGGGGACTGTATCCCCCCGGCCTGCTGCCAGATCCATCAGTAAGGAGCAACACCACTTAAGCCACTGTGATGCATTAATGCTCACGAGCAGAGCAGTGGCAGAGCTCAGCTTTTCCTAAAGGGATCGGCGGGGGGGGGGGGCGCTCGCCTGAAACTGGAAGAATTGTACCAAGTAGTGAGCTATGGGGTCCAGTGGCTTCATTATTTAAACCAGTCTTAGGTTTAGAATCCTAAGGACTAGAACCTTACTTTCTCTTTAGGGGGAATTCATCGTTCCAGGCCTTTGCACAGTGAAGGCTGCTAGGATCAGTCCTCAGCGTCTTCAGGTAAGCTGAGAGGGGTTCGCAGCCGCTCAGAGTGAGGGAGGCACCCGGACGTTCCTCCCGACGTCCCAGCGTCCTGCCCAGTTCACCCCTTCTGTCTGAGCTTCCTGGCAGAGTCTGCCCAAACGCCGCGGCGTCCCTCTGTCCCGCAGTCTGAAATTATCCTGCTCCTTACCAAAAACGTTGCAGCTGCTGTGGGCATGTGAAAACAGACGCTCTTTGTGCTCTTTCGTAGAGTAAACACTGCCCCGCTGGAGGATGGAGATTTCTTCCCACCAGTTCCACCTCCTGCAGCAGCTGAACGAGCAGCGCCAGCAGAACCTATTCTGCGACTGCCACATCCTGGTGGAGGGGAAGGTCTTCAAGGCCCACCGCAATGTCCTCTTCGCAAGCAGCGGCTACTTCAAGATGCTCCTCTCCCAGTGCGCCAAGGAAGCCAGCCAGCCGACCACTGCCACCTTCCAGGCGTTTTCTCCAGAAACATTTTCGGTGATTCTGGACTTCGTGTATTCGGGCAAACTCTCCCTGACTGGCCAGAACGTGATTGAGGTGATGTCGGCAGCCAGCTTCCTGCAGATGACCGACGTCATTAGCGTTTGTAAGACCTTCATAAAATCGTCCCTGGACATCAGCGAGAAGGAAAAAGACCGCTACTTTAGCCTCTCGGACAAAGAAGTGAACTCCAACGGGGTGGAGCGCTTGTGCTTGTACAGTGCTGGCTGGAGGTCGGAGGCCAGTCCGCCCCATTCCCACTTAAGCCCCGACCAAGGGACGTGCGTGGTGGGCAGCAACTCTTGGGCCAATTTCAGCTATTACCCGTCTGCCCCCAGAGCCGCCCAGCCCCTCTCCAAACACGACCAAAGACAAGAGCCCCTGAAGAAAAGCAGGCACATAGGGCTGCCCCAGCCTGCAGACGTGCCCCCCTACAAATCGAGCAAACTGGAAGACCGGGCTTCTGAGCAGGCAAGCCGCCCTCCTCCGTCCGAAGAGGACCTGCAGATCGACTCGGAAGGGGACTCCTGTCCCGCAGGGTACCAGTACGTGCAGGGGTCGGACGCGGTGCCCAGAGGACTGGCTGCCTCTCAGCACGAGCACGATTCTCCCCACTCCGCCAGCAAGTCGAAGTCTTCCAAAGCTGAAGATCAGTACCCCAGCATGCCCTCGGTCTTGGGGGTCATGGGGAACTGGGCCGAGGGTAAGAACGTCGGCATCGCACTCCGTTCCCTGCCGGGGCAGAAGCTGCAGGCTTTCGCAGAGGGCTCAGTCGTGGGTGGGAAATTAAACAGGAGGATGTGGATGCCTCTGGTGGCTAGTTCTTGTGACGGGAAAAGGTTCCAGTGGAGCCACCATCAATGTTTACTGAGCACGGTGCAAGGCTCCATGTGGTTTGGAAATGGGCTCTTTAGCAGGGGGTCCAATCTGAAGCCGTCTTTTCGTTCTCTTCGCTTAAGGCAGTGTTGTCCAAACTTGGCCACTTTAAGATGAGTGGACTTCAACTCCCAGAATTCCCCAGCCAGCATGGCTGGC